ATTATTTCCTTCAAAACGTCTGCAGTGGATACATTTCGTGCCTTCACTGGCCCTCCTTGCGATTCTTATTCACGCCTTGCTCTAAGAACATCATCTCTGATAACCTCACTGCTTTTGTAACCGGGGCATCAGGAAGAACAAAGTTTGTTGTTCCTTTGTGGTTCTGTAGTTTACTGTATAAAAAGTTTATATGAGAATTCTCATATTGCCTGTGTAGTCACATAAAGTAAAATTATAATTTAAAGTAGGCAGGATCCTGGTTTTTTTTAAAATTTTTTTCCTTTTTCTCCCCAAAGCCCCCCAGTACATAGTTGTATATTCTTCGTTGTGGGTCCTTCTAGTTGTGGCATGTGGGATGCTGCCTCAGCGTGGTTTGATGAGCAGTGCCATGTCCGCGCCCAGGATTCGAACCAACGAAACACTGGACCGCCTGCAGCGGAGCGCGCGAACTTAACCACTCGGCCACGGGGCCAGCCCCAGGATCCTGTGTTTTTGAAGACAGAGCTCAGACACATATTTTAAATCTTCTCTTAAGTGCTGAATTTAAATAATAAAATGCAGTCTCTTTACATGGTGAGTACTATCATAGAAAAATAGTCCAAGATTTGGAAATGGGAGAAAAGGATTACTGGACGTCCTCCAAATGGAGTGCTGGGTGTTTATCAGACTCTCCAGAGATTATCGGATTTTTAAGAGGTGTGCACTTTTGGGTAACTTTCTATTGAATAGCTCAGGTGTTTGTGAACATTGTAGTCTCAGAATCCCATTACATTCTTAAAAACTGAAGACCCCAAAACTTTTGTTTATATGGGTTTTACCTATTGATATTTACTATATCATAAATTAAAACTAAGAAAATATTATTTATCAATTTATTTTAAATACCAATAATCCATCACCTGTTAACAGACACCTTATTTTTATGAAAATAGTTATATTTCCCCAAAATAAAATGTTCAGTGGAGAACAACCTTGTTTTACAATTTTGCAGATTTCTTTACTGTCTGGCTTGATAGAAGAGAGTTGGATTCTCATGTCTGCTTCTGCTTTCAATTGGTTGCAGTCTATTGATTTGGTTGAAGTATATATATATATAAAAAAAAATCAAACTAGCCTCACACAGATTTGTAGTCAGAAGAAGGAGGAGTATTTTAGGAGCCCTTTCATGTAATTGATGTTCTTTTTTGATATTACACTAACACTTGATAAGTGGTAGCTCCTTGAAGGTTAATTGCAACGTGGAATCTGAAACCATACCAATAAACTTTTCAAACCATTCCTTTTAAATTCATTGTCCTATCTTGTACTTTAAATGGGTCATTTACCTATATTTGATCATATAGCATCATGCATTGGTCATTTGGAAAATATTGGTTTGTGGATGCATGCAGATTTACTAGATGTTGACACATTTCATATCCAATATTTAAAAAAGTCAAATTTGTTCATATCACTACCCATCTCATCAGCCATTTTGGCAAATCAGATGGTCTAAGGAGGCACACGTTCATGCGGTTTGGAGAATAACTTTAGAATGCACATGCCATCAGCCCCCGGGAGCCCACTAGAATATATTTTCTTAAAGGGATCACTGCACAAGTATGTAAAAATATAAGCACAAAGGTATTTATCACAGCATTCTTTATAACAGAGAAAGACTGGAAATATCTGACTTAGGTTTTCTAGAATAGATAACCTATTAAATAAAGTGTGGGAATACAAAAGACAGATTATTTTACATCCGTTAAAATAGTCTCTTAGTATATATATATTTAATGGCCTGATAAAATGTACATGCTCTGTTGTGGAGTGAAAAATTTTGTTATAAAACAGCATTATAGCATGATCACATTTATAGAATTTTTGTGTACACACACAGGCATAGATAGATGGATACAGGCATAGATACATAGATGAAGTTTTGAATGAGAGTTCTAAAATGTTGATCATAAATATCTCTGAGTTGGGAGATGTGGGGGCTTTTGTTTCTCTCTGTAATATTTTGATTGTTTAATTTTTGTTAACATAAGCATGTATACATTTTTACAGTCAGAGAAAGCGATAAAACTATTTTCTTTTTGGAAAATGAAAGTCAGTTTTGTTTCTAAAATTAGAAAATATACATGGATTTTATTTTTATTTACTTGTTTATTATTTTTATTGAGGTCACATTGGTTTATAACATTATGTAAATTTCAGGTGAATATCACTACATTTCGACTTCTGTATAGACTACTTCATGTTCGCCACCAAAAGTTTAGTTGCCATCCATCACCATACACATTAGCCACATGTATTTTATTGTGACAGTCAATGTTGGCAAGAGTTCAAAGCAAGGAGTTGCTTCTGTGCTGCCAGTAGACATATTAGTGCAATCTTCCTGACAAGCAATTTGGCTCAAAATTCTTAAAATTTTTACACTTGCTAATTTAGCCAGTTTTTGTCTATTAATTAATCCTATAGAAATACTCAGAGATATACTCAAAGACTTGTGTAAAACCTAAGTGCCAAGCAATAGGAAATAATTCAAATATATTATGGCATATCCATTTGGTAGACTACCATACGGAGGACGCTTTAGATTTTTGCCTGTTAGCATGTCTATGGTTGCATGCTACTGTGATATGGGGAAGGAAGGAGCAGGAGGTTAAGAAATGGGGGTCCTAAGCCATCTTCTCCTGCTGTTGGTAGGTCTGTGGGATTTCTAGTCTTTTCATTCCTTTCTTTCCTTCCTCCTGCTTCGACTTCTAGTCTCCACTACTCTGTCTTGCTGCACCACCACCCTGCTTGTTAGTGGTCCATGATTCTAGGTGTTACCTAGAATTACAGGTCCACATTCCAAAACCTTTCTAGTGATATATATATATATATACTCATAGATATCAAACTATACATTTTCCATTCAGAGAGCAGAAAGAATTCAATATTTAAGAATTATATATCTTTCTTTTATGGTGGTATAAATTTTCTTTTCATTTTTTTCTTATAAAACTATTGAAAATTCTTGTAAAATATATTTCCTAAGTACACTTAAGACTTTTTTGGATAGTCTGTCTTTATATTCAATTGAAGTTTCTGTGCACTCAAGAGCAGCCATAATGGCCTCTAAATAGCACTAAGTTTATGATCCAGCAGACATGGACTCTCAGGGCAGCAGCTTGAGAAATCCTTGAGGAGTCAAATGAAATTGCTGATTTAGAGGATCTCTGAGTCTTTCTCCAATTTCCTAGTAAAGAGAAAGTCCCATTTTGTCCAAAGGATTATCTTTCCTTTTATTTTTTTTTTAAGTAGAATTCTATAATACCAGATTGATTAAGATAGAATAGTATGCATATTTTAATATGTTTGTACTTTTTAATAAGCAAAGAGTCTCTATTGAATTGGTAGTAAAAGATTGTCAATCTTTAATATTAGAATGTAGTTTTGAAGCCAAGCCCAACTCTGAAGATGGATATTATTACTGCATCCACAGAAGTAATAGTGTTTTATTTGATATCAATACAGAAGGAGGGGAAAAAAGACATAACATTTAAAAAGCCAAGTAGAAAATAGTTTTTCATCTTAATCATAACTTTCCTTTTAATCTTAAATAATTTTTTAACTTAACTGTGAAATAATTTTGACTGTCCAAAAACATTCCTATACCTCAATTATAAAAAGACAATTTCAGGGCAGGCCCGTGGCCGAGTGGTTAAGTTCGTGTGCTCTGCTGCGGTGGCCCAGGGTTTCCCTGGTTCTGATTCTGGGGGGGGAACATGGCACCGCTCATCAAGCCATGCTGAGGCGGCGTCCCACATGTCACAACTAGAAGGACCCACAACTAAAATATATGCAACTATGTGCTGGGGGGATTTGGGGAGGAAAAGCAGAAAGAAAAGAAAAAGAAAAAAAGAAGATTGGCAACAGTTGTTAGCTCAGGTGCCAATCTTTTAAAAAAAAAAAAAAAGACAATTTCCCTCTCTCTGGACAATGTCAGCTGTATTTTTCATGTATTCCTTTTTGTGACTTATGTTTAAGGATTAGATCTAAAGGAAATCTAAATAGAACCCTCACTATAAACAAACTTTCGGGAAAAGCAGCAGCAGCAGCAACAAGAACAATAAAATATCCGTTTCTCACTAAAAGGATAGCAAAGATTCTGGTTTAATTTCTTGGCATCTAGGAGAATGTTTTTGTTGTTTAAGTCACATGCATGGGGGGAGTATTTAAAGTGGTGTGAAATTTTGGGGGAAAATTCACAGGATTTGGGGGTTTTGGTTCATGTGGACTCACCCACTCTAGTTTTATTTAGTTTAGGTTTCAGATGAATCCAAAATTTCTAAACAAGGCCTGATACTCCTGCCAATATTTTCATGGCTTATGGTGAAAACTACTGTTATCCTTAATGATAACAAAAGGCAGTATTGTGCGTTTCTAAGCACTCATTGCACACAAAATGCCTAATGACATTTCCAACTTTTAAAAGAGCTGCTTTTATATATGAATTTGAACATACTGAGCTAAAGGTTGGTTTTATAAAATTTTAACGTTAGTAAAATGGAAACAATTTTATTTCCATTGAAAAAAAGGCCATTTATTATGGGTAAATGACAAATTATACATTATTATCATGAAATGTTAAATCATACAGGTATTTATATGCGCTAAAAGAATCTGAGTACTATTGAGGAAATGATTTTTCCAAACAGTGCTTTGTTTTATATGAACGCATGTGCATGAGAGCCTGTTTTTTTCCTCTCCGATACATTTGCTTTTATATTTTAATATAGAACTACCTTGCTTTCAGCCATATCTCTTAAGATGTCTTACTGGGGCCAGCCCAGTGGCATGGTGGTTAAGCTCAGGTGCTCTGCTTCAACAACCCAAGGTTAGCAGGATCTGATCCCGGGCCTGGACCTACACACTGCTCGTTAAGCCTTGCTTGGGGTGGCATCCCACATACAAAATAGAGGAAGATTGCCACAGATGTTAGCTCAGGGACAATCTTCCTAAAGCAAAAAGAGAAGGATTGGGAACAGATGTTAGCTCAGCACCAATCTTCCTCACCAAAAAAAAAAAAAGTCTTACTAAAGAAAAGTTCATGCAACCTGTACAAAGCATGATGGGATGACATGCAGAGGGAGTTTTTACAGTGAATTCATTATATTTACATAGCACTTATTATTTACAAAGTTATTTATGTCCAGTGTTTCATTACTCATCAGAATATCTCGATTGTGCAAATATTATCTACATTGATCAGATGATAACCCTATGGCCCAGAGAGGCTAACAGTTGCTCGTTAAATGGTGAATTTGAAAAAAGCATCCAGCTCTCCTGACCTCTTATCGAATTTTCTTTTCACTACCACACTGAGGGAGGGGATCATTAACTCAGATTCTGGAGGCTCTCACGCTGGCATGAACCCTTGATCATAATTGACCTAAATTATTCTGATCTACAACTGTTTAAATTAAAATTCAACAAATAATTGCTCAACTTCATTTTATGCTGACTACAGAGAGCTGCCCTTGGAGGGCCTGCAAAGGGAATCTATTACCCAGAAAATAAAGCAAAGCTTTTATTGAATTGAATTAAAGTGATTCATTTCTTTTTTCTTCTTTAAAGATCTTTTCATCGATTGTTAGTTAAAAAAAAATCCCTTAGGAAATTCTTTATAAATGAATAAGGTTGATTTTGTGATAAAACTAAGTTCTGCTACTTTACTTTTTCCCTCCCTTGGAGTGCTTGGAACTTTCTCCTCTTTACGTCGGCCTTCACGTCTTCTGCACACCCATTATCCCGAGTAGCTTTTCTTCCTTTTTTCCACGCTTTAATCTCTTTTCTGCTCACTCAAGATAGGCGTGCTGTAAAGGTACATTTCACCCTTGTGGTGGGGTACTTAAAAGTCAAAATGTAAAGAACAGAGTGATGTATTTACCATTCTTCCGGAATTGATGCTGCTTCTGGAAGCATATATCGAACTGAGAAAATTTTTATTTTTGTGAAATTTTTAATCAGTCCCTTCATGCTCTTGACCAAAACCTTTTGAGATTTTACTAAGTGTGGAGACCGGTCCTAAGTGCTGGGAATTCAAAGATGGTTAAGACCCAGGCCTTGATCTTAAGAAGGCTGGAGTTGAATATAATCTCCTAGTTGTTTATTTTTGGCCTGTTTCCAGATTTTTCACGAAATTTTGCATAGGTCTTTGAGTGAACCATCATTCTGTGCCTCTGACATGCCATACAGCGCATTCGCTGGACGCGTTAAATGGAAGGGAAGGGATGGCTTCGATAGTCATATCACTAAGCCTTCTCGGGTAATAAAATCAGCCTTAAAGAAGACGTGATTGGTTACACTGCTTCAGGATTGTCAAATGTGGAAGAGTTAGAATTTGGAGAGCCATAATGAGCTATGTATTAAAGGAAAGTTACAACTCATTTTCTGACATTCAGTCCGATTGGTTTAAATTCCTATTTTTTTCTTTTTTCGAAATTGGTTTGAATTTCCTAGCCACTATCGCTACAAGACCTGTCTTTTCTTAGTTCAGAGGGATAATATTTTGCAGAGATTTATATACAGCATTTCATACACATATCAATACTAAGGTTTGTCTTCATAAGCATTTTTTTAAGTCAGCTGATTAAATATTAAGGTTTTGTCTAGTTGTGAAGTAAGATTTTTTCCAAGATTTCCAAATCATGGTTACTGAAAACAGTGAAACCCTATATTTCATTGGCAAAGAGCTATAGGGACTTGAACCTTTAATCAAGAATTGCTAAATGCTTCAGTTTCTAAATTGTTTATGAGTTAACCAGGACTCTCCACCCAAATCTGTTCTGCCTGAGTGTAAGGGCTGGTTCTCTGCTTACAGTACCCTAGACAGTACAGCTCTTCTATGGTTCACGCGTGACTGAAGTCGAGATGAGATGAGTGTGATCTGATCATGTATAGAAATGCTTGAACATTGTTGGCATGGATCCACTCAAAGTTACTGGGTTTTCACTTGGGGAGGAGTGTGGAAATGTGTTTTAAATGACATTCTATCTTCTCTTCTGCTTGTCTCTTAAAAGCCCCGCCTGTCTCTTTCAGCCAGTGTAACACAAAAAGTCTTCCAGGAGGGCAGGCCGACAAGCACAGGCTTTGATTCACAGCCAGCTTTGTTCCAACACAGTTGTATGAGTGCCACATCCATGAAACTAATGCCCCTTTTCTGGCCCTACTACAGAAGTCCAAGTTTCCTTTCCAGACGGCTGTGCAGCTTGAGTGCCGCCAGTAGGCTAGAGTCCTTATCCACCCAACAAAAGAGATGTCTGCTTCACTCTGGAATATTAGTGTGGCATTTCTAATAAAGACAATGTGGGGAATCATGCAGCTGGAGATATATATGTAGAAGGCAATATTGTTAGGTAAATATAGGTATGGAACTTTTTTTCTTGGCCGCCTATCCTAAGAAATGATATATCGTATCACTAATGTCAGGAGAATACATCTTTTTAATTTAAGCATTCAGTCAGTTATTAAAAAATCATTTTTTGAGTGCCATTCACTGAGTTTGTCTGTGTGCTAGGTGCTGGGGATATGGAAACAAATAGGACATGCTTCATTGCCAAAGGCCATACACTCATAAGCAATTAATTATGAGACAGACGAGAAGGTGCGCCTGAAGATAACAAAAGAGGCAAGAGTAAACTAACGTGGCCCTGGGGGAGAGGAAACCGTAGAAGCAAGGAAGCCTCCCCAGAGGAGGGGGTTCAGGCTGAACATGTGGGGTTTGGAGTTTATTTGTTTGTTCCTATTTCTTATTGTCTCCTAAAGTGAATGAAATTTATCTTACTCAACGTAACATTCATAGTTTTAATTTTACATAAATGATCTCTCTTAATTCCCATGACAAATGTGTGTTACTCCTTTTTACATAGGAGAAAGTTGAGCCTTAGAGTTTGACTTACTCGGTAATTGGTAATTGGAGAAACTGGAGCTAAAAATACTCCCTTGGCACCAATTCCCTTGCTTTTTTCATCAACGCACTGCCTCGATTTGATGGTATTTTGGCTTCATAGCCATAATATTTCATCACTTGAAGTCAGCTCACAATTGATTATCCATTTTGATTTTGATTGACCCAAATGCTAAGGAATTTCTCCTTGCTTTTGATTGCAAGTATTAGAGGAACAAAGAAAAATTATACAAGTAATCATGTTTATTGAGGAATTATTAAATGCCAGGTACGGCATTTGTACTTGAGTGGTTTAGCTCACAATAATCTTATGATGCAGCTACTCTGTTTTTGTTTTACAGATGAACAAACAGAATCTTAGAGCAATGAGGAAACTTAGCCGAAGTTGCCAGTTAGCGTGTAGAAGAGATTGATTTAGTCTTGGCAGTCTGATTCCAGAGCTCAGGAACCTCATCAGTCTGTTCTAATATCTGATGAGGCACAAGTTTAGTCCACCCTATCATAGTTCAAGAATTAATGAAATAGATGATCCAAACTCTCGAAGACCCTCTCCAGAGTTTTAACAATGTAAGATTATTCTACTGTATAAGTGAGGGAAAAGTAGACAACATGTGGTATTGGGACACCTGCACTGTGCCTTTTCCCAATTCACTACTTTATATCTGCTTCCTTTTAAAACACAGCCTCATGTAACTGCTTCATATTTATGTATGGCATATTTGCATATTAATGATGGCTCTCTAGACAGCAAAGCCGGCATATACAGGGTGTGTTGGATGCTGTCACGTCCCTTTTGCCCACACTGTCAGAGAAGTGCTTTCCAAAAAATATAGTAATGCCCTGTTCCTCTCACTTTGGCTCGCCTTCTAAATTTGGCCAAGAAGTAAGGAAATCTATCTCTTCAACAGATTCAGATTTGTTTGTATTTCTATACCTTAGAAGGGCTTCTGAATTTTTCTCTTCAAATCATTTAGGTAAAGGAGGAGCCAAGGTGGGAGAGTGAACAAAAGCAGGAGAGAACATAAATTCCAGGTGGCTGTGAATTGGCATGCCTCTTTTGTTCGTGACTCAGAACTGGGTGCTGTGGAGTGCTAAATCAGACTGGTCGTCTGGTAGAGTCAAAGACGACTGAATCCTCAGAGGAACATTATGGTTGGTGCAGTATATCACACAGTCCTAGAAATTAGTGATATAAAGTATTTCCGTGGAGAAGACAGCCGTTTAGTGAGCAATGCTCCAGGACTTGTCCATCAAAACAAACTAAAACCAAAGTAGAAACACTCACTATGGCGCTTAGAATGGACTTTCAGAATATCTGTTTTATGATTATGTTTAGATTCTGTGTAGTCTAAAGTTTTTATATGTGATGTTTCCTTTTCTAAACATCTCATACTGATGTGAAATTAGAGAAGCTGGTAGGAGGGTGAGGAATCCAGATGTGTTGTTTCTCTTTCCTCATATGATAAAGATCAGGATCTAACTAGATCTGAAAAACTAAAGAGGCACCATTTGTCCCAATTGGAAAGCCAGACTTCCTGGCAATCATAGTACATGGATTAAGCAGAAATTGAAGAGCAGAGGAGATACCAAGAAGTCCATCCACCTGTTACAGAGGTGTGTGGCAGCCTAAGCGTGTGTGAGCTGTTCCATGAATCCAGAACAAAGAGGAAAACTTGAACCTAAGAAGAAAGAACACACTCATCGGCTTGGCGTGGTGCTTGATTTAATCAGACACTTTATCTTAAGGGTATATGTTTAGGTTGAAAACAAATTATTTGAGCAGTTCTGATGTGCAGTATATGGTTCAGACAATGACATAATTTTTGAATATTGAGTTCCTTTCCCGCAGCCTTGGTTTTCCTAATGGACAAACTAATAGTGACTATTTACTAACTAGGTAATTCAAGGAAGTCGAGTTAGCATAAAATGAAATTGCCTCACAAGTTTACCTGATAGTGGTAAAACGTTACCATTCTTAATCTCTTATTATGACATTAGATCTAAAAATTACAGTTGTATTTCCAGTTGCTGCAGGATATGGCACGAATCGGATGTTATGTGGGAGTGCTATTTACCCCAATTAATTCAGCTCTTTTCTGCTCATCTTCTGGTCTGGTGGAGTACTTCATTTTCCGGGGGCTTGAAGAACACTTTCAGAAAAGGGCATGGAATATAACATTGTAGCTTGTTCCCCCCAAACAAAAATTACTCTGGTAAAATAGCTACTTAGAAGTTGTTTTCATTTTAAAGTAATCATTTAAAAACAAAACAGAATAACTGAATTACTGTTGATTTCAGTTTAGCTCCTTTGGCATTGCAGAATTATATTTTTGCTGCTACTATAAGGGAATAATTTTTAAAGCATTATCTGGAAGTAGAAATATGTGTTTTAAGTGCTAGTCCAAAATTAAAAGAAGAGCACTTTTTAATACCAGTAAAGAGAGAGAGACGCAAAGTGGGGAGGGATAGAGAATCAGTCGGAAAACATGAGAAGCGAAAGGAAACTGTTTACATAGCATCTGATTTCTGAATGACTCTGCTTTGTTCTTCCACAGAAACAGGAAGAAATGTCACATGGAATCATTAAAATCATAAATTCTCCTATCTTCTTGTGGAAAAATTATGCAGACTCTGACTGAAAAATAATGTGGTGACTAAAGCAGAAGATTAGTGAGAACATCATTGCCTTTGATTGTCCTTCAATATCACCTGTGGTTCTAAGGTTGCTAGTCATTCATTTCTTTTCTTTCTTTCTCTTTTTTTTTTTGAGGAAGATTAGCCCTGAGCTAACATCTGCCGCCAATCCTCCTGTTTTCACTGAGGAAGACTGGCCCTGAGCTAACATCGATGCTCATCTTCCTCTACTTTATAGGCGGGATGCCTGCCACAGCAAGGCTTGACAAGCAGTGTGCAGGTCTGCACCCAGGATCCAAACCGGGGAACCCTGGGCCACTGAAGTGGAATGTGCGAATTTAACCGCTGTGCCACCAGGCCGGCCCCCTAGTTACTCGTGTCTAATAAGTCATCTCATCTCTATGTCAATTACTGTGTTAACATAGACTCCCACAAGACTCTACAGTGCTTCCCAGAGCACTAAAGTAATGCAAAGATTGACATGCCCCTGTGATCAAATTGTGCATCCAAAAAAATAACATATTCACCAAAAATGTAATCCTTTTACATCTTCTGTCACTAGACTTAATTGGGTAGTTAGACGATTTACAGGAAAGTTTTCTTTGATGCATCTAAGGTCAGGTTAAGCTTGTGAAGCCTCCTACTTGGAGAGGGATTGTAAAAAGGTAAGCTTTAGACAGAAATTTACCAATCGTTTGCAGAATCCATTTCTCTTTCTTCAGATATTGCTCTTGAGCTCAGTCTGGTTTCCTTTGCTTTGTCCTAAAGTAGAATTTCAGTTGTGCTGATGACATCATAATTCACAGCAGAGAAATTCGCCCACTTTCCCGAGTCAGAGCATATACAATAAGGTTGTTCCTGTGGCCATTAGCCATTACCAATTCAAGATATAACAATAGTAATAATGTTAGTAATAATGATAATAATAAAGTCAACATGATTATGCACATAATCAATTGCAGACACATATTATCAAAAGTAGTAATTAACAACTATTCAGTTAAAAAATGAAAGTTCTGAGGAAAAGTGAAAAAAGTACCAAAGTATCAATAGGACTCTTGGAAACTTTGTCTCCAAATTGATTTTTTTGGAGTTCTATTTTTCTTTAATGTGATGGAGTTTTTGTTCTTTTTATTAGTGTTGGGCCAGAAAAATATACCTTAAATACCAGCTGAGTGATATGCAACTGATCATATAGTCATAGAATTTTAAAGCGAAAAAGGAAACTTAGCCATCATTTACCCCAATGTTTACAATGACAGATCATCAGAATTACGTAGAATTGCCCCCACACATGCATATGTATATATGCATATCATATATTGTCATACATCTATCATGTGTGTGTATATGTATATAAGTTGTACATATATATGTCTATGTAAACATGTCGCTGAGCTTCATTTCTGGAGATTCAGTTCTAATTTAGCAGATCTGAAGACGGGTAAAGCAAAGTTTTCCATGACCAGCCAGATTTGGAAATCCTTTAAGCACAACTCCCACAACTTTGCATAAGAGGCAACTGAGGGCTATGGAGGTTGGCCAACCTCCTAATTGTCACACAGTCAATGGATAGCAGTCAGGGATAAAACCCAGGCTTCCTGATTCTTGACTTTTCCTATTAACTCAGGCTGCTTCTTCAGGATGGTGCATGAGAAATTGCTAATCCTGTCTGTCACTTCACTTATAACCGTCTCTAGTTTTTGTTTACTAAAGAATTATTTATACTGCTGATTCACTATTTAGCCTTTAAAAGTAGCCAGATATCGCATTTGTACATAAAAATAAAGCTGTTAACACTTGGTCCCTTTGATTGGAAATAATTTTCGAATATTTTCTCATTTCCCTTTGTTAAGATTTATCTTCCTAACTTGTGGTTCTTCCATTTCAAAGTTAAACTATTTAAATCTAGAAAAAAGGAAATTATTTATTAAACTCGCTTGCTTCACAATTTGAGAAAAGTAGGCCAATGAATTGTTTATTGAGAAGGTGGTGTCATTTCTTCCTTTCTCTCTCCCCTCCCCTTATAATCCCCAAAGGAAGTGGCAGATCTGAAGAGCTGAAATGTAATGTAATATGCTGACTCGTTTGCCTGATGGATGTGTGACTGCCCTCTGTTGGATGAAATTAGATCTGCTCTTATATGTTAGACTGTCTTGCCCTCTAGTGGTTTGTGCAGAAGATAGTAATGAAGACATTGGAGAATACTGCATGAAGAATCAGGTAATTACTTCTCTACTTTTAAATAACAAAATTCAACCAAAAGCCTGATTTAATAGTAATTATAATTTAAGATGTAATAACTCACCTTAATTGCTCCTCAAATTTCATTTATGGATAAATCAATATGATCATTAAGTTAAATTAAATTAGTGTATTATATAAGGAATGTGAAATTTATGGTTACTTGTTATACACAACTCAATTTATCAACTTCTTTAACTAGAAACTTCTAATAGGTCATTTTTGAAAATGGAATTTCTTGAACTGGAGTGAATTTGATTCACAGTGGCTGAGATTCTGCCACTAGAGAAGTAGCTGAGATTTTAAATTTTTTTAAATAACCCTCACTTTTGAAGAAAAAATATTCATTATTTGTCCCCACCAGAGCTTTGTATGTGCTGTCCCTTTTCCTGGAGTCACCGTTCCCCCTCTTATCCTGAATTCTCAGCCGTGTTAAACCGAGTAGTCTACATGTACAGTATTTGATGACTTCTAAACACTTCCGGGATAGAGTGGATCACAACTTCATTTGTGTAGAACCCTATTAAGGTGCTTGTCATTGTCCAGCACATTTCTGGGCACTGGGAAACTTTAGCTATGAGCATCATTTTTTAATTTAAAAATAATTGTTAAACTTGCCTTGCACTTTTGCATATTTACCTTTTCATTCTTTTTTGAGATCACTTTTTAGTCAGCTGTTATAGATTCCAACTAGATCCTTGTGCACAATTATCATTTATCTCATACGATCTATCTGTGCACTCTAGAAGGTTTTATTAAACATTAACTTTCAATTAATTAAATAATCTTCCAATAACTTTTTTTTAATTTCTAAAAGCTATTTCTTGTTCACAGATTGTTTCTTTTTCATGGCATATGATTCTTATTTTATGGATACTCTATCTTCTTCAGTCTCTGAAAAAACATATTTGATTTTAAACAAATTCTCATTATTATGATACACAAATTGTATGTTTCTGTTGTTTTTTTCTCTATCATGCTGCAGATATCCTCCAGTCTGTATTGAATACTGGTTTTGTGCTCACATTTAAGAAGGAGTAAATAGGAAGCTTGGTGTTGTGTAAAGTTCGGCAGGCTTCATGGCAGAGCGAGTGGGTGGGAGCGGCCATTCAACCAGAAACCCCTAAATGCCAGAATAAGGAGAGCTCTGCTCTACAGCTTTTCGTTCAAAGAGTTGTGCTGGCTGTTCAGACAGAGATGATGCAGTTTCTTCAGAGAAGAACCCCGTAACTTTCATCCATAGCTAAGAGCCCAATAGCAGGGATATTGCGTGTGGTGGCGGCAGACGTCTCTCTGCTAAGCTCACGGTCCCTGAGTCAAAGTCACTCAAGAGTCTCCTTGAGCAGGTTCAATCTCTCTTTGACTTTGTCTCCTGCAGTTTCCTTCCCAGTTGTTCCAGCCTCCAGCTTAGTGTCACTTCTGGTTCGTCTTTTTTCGTTTCTTCTTCTTCCAAAATATATGAGTTTCTTGCCCGTTGATTGCATCTTCACCATTTTCTTCACTGTTGTGGAATTTACACTGCTTTATTTTCTTTACTATCAATTTAAGAGTCTGTAGGGGTGGAAAGAGATAATGCCTGTGATCAGACCTCCATTTTGAAATAGAGGTCCCAAGAAGGACCGAGAGAGAACACCAAACACTTGTATTGTCTTTGTGATGAGAAAATAGAGAGTGGGAGAGAGTAGTGCAGTAGTACATATTTTAATTCCCTTCATGTTCTTAAAGCCCGCTTACTGGATTAAATACCTTATCTTTATTTAAACCCAATAATAAAAAATTAGAGTTAAAGTGCTCGCTGAGGTCATCTTGCCAAACTTCAATTTGGAGGTTGGAATTCCTTCTCTACCATTTCACTCAATCTTCTTCCAAAATATACTTAATCATCCTCACTGAGTACTTAATGAAGCAATGCACATCGTTGGAAAATTCTGCTTTGTTAGAAACCCTTTCTAACATAGAGATGAATTCAGCTTCTCTCTTGGTTTCACCCACTAATTCTAATTTGCCCATTAAAAATGTGCCTCAGAGGACTCTGTGAATACCTGGAATTGTATATAAAATGATGTCTATAAGTGTATAAGAACATTTTTCTGGGAAGACAGTCCGTAGGTTTCATTATATTCTCAATCTATAAACAAACAAAAGGCTAAAAGGCACTAGTCTCAAAACAGTACAGAGAAAACTGGCTTCCTTTAACTTCTGGCGGTTCTCCAAATATCCAAGAATAACTGTAATCCATTTTTATTTTTGGTATTTATACAATGAAAGCTTCAAAGTCATTAAATAGCATGATACTGTGGCTGTTTGAATAGGATTCAGACTTTAAAGAGCACAATCTGAAGTTATTATAAACCTGTTTAGGTCCATACCCATAAATAAAAAGGGGTCAATTGGTAAAACAAAGCAATAAAGTCAGTACACTCTAAATGATGGGAAGTAGAGGTTTATTGTTTTTCTGAAGAAGTAGGATGAACAAAATAATACCAAGAATGCTCTCTGTGCTCTTGTGTTTAATCGCCATACTTGTAACCTTTTCAGTAACAAAGGATGGGATCAAATCGGTGGGCTTTTTGCCTTCACTGACAAGTCCACCAGCACTATTTAGAAAAACCATTGTAAAATCTCAAGCAATTTTTAGAAAGCACATTGTTGTATTAAATCATCCTAGCTTCATGAAAAATACACAGTTATCATGACTTCATGAGAAATTTCAGTTTCTTCATTTTTATAGCATATAATTTTTCTTTGTTAAATAATTTAAATAATAACTGACAATTTTAGACATAAATTAGAAAAATTAGGTAAAACTAAAATTATATGAAATATCACTATCCACTGTATCGATATTAAGATTTTGGTGTATATACTTTCAGAATAAAGTATATTCTTTGACCTCTTTACTTATCAGTATATTATGAATGTCCTTTCATAATATACTTACTTTTTTATTTCAAATTATAACATAGTATTCCATTGTTGGATGTACTACACTTTACTTTATCTAGATAGACATTTTGTTTCCAGTTTTTGCTTCTATAAACAACAGTATAATATAAACCTTATCCATATATATATTTTTGTGCATTATACATATTGCCAAAATTCTCCTGAGACAAATTTATACTCCTACCCGAAGAGAATTTGAGTCTCTTCCGCTTTTGCACACTCAGGCTAAACCAGGGTATCAAAGCCCGTTTTCGTTTTTACTAACCTGTTAGGCAACATGTGGTTTACGTCCTTGTTTTCTGATGCCTTCTTCTTTGGGGTGGGGGAGTACCTCATTGCAAAAGACCGCTATTTCTATCTAGAAGTAATACCAGGTCAGTGTGAGTTCTCCTGGTTTTTGAGGCTTGTGACTTCGTAAATAATAAGGCTTACTGTGAGACGTCTGCAAAGAGCCTATGATTCTGAGATAGTTTTGCCTGATAGTTCAAAAAAATTAATTCAATCCACCTCTGTAAAGAAAAAAAATACATCTTCATACTCTTATAAGGATGGAAGATGCTGTAAAACATCAATACATATTATAGTAAATTCCCAAATTTGTGAGCTATGAGGGTGAAGAAAAGGAAAATAATGCAGAGGAAGAAAGGGCTGCTAGATTCAGAGATAATCCAAAGGCTTCATTTTGACCAATAGCATAGACTCCTCACCCCTGATAGTGCCTGCACGCTGCTATCAATGTATTATTTAAAATAAAATTAAAGCAAAAAATGAAAATAAAATTAAAATTAAGTGGTATAAAAATACCCCCCCTTTTTTTTTTATAACATCATAGTTTGAAATACAGTTATTAATGAGCAAAAAGTACTCAAAAAGAAGGTAGAAAGAACAGGGAGACCCAACTTTAGATAAATTGACAATGAATCATTTTCTGTAAAATTACATTATCATTCTTATTCAATTATTTTAATTATTATGCATTTTAGAAACTATTCTATTTTCCTCCAATTTTTTTTTCACATACAAAACCCCAGAAAATGATGCCAATGAAATGATATATAATAGGGTTGTTTAAACTTGTAAAATATATATAAAAGAAAATTATTCTATTTTAAATATGATAATCAACCTTTAGTGTATTAGAAATGAAAGGAAGTCATAATTATGCTTATTTTTCTTAAGACTGAATTGGTCTTACATGTGGTTTATACACTTATTAAGCAGAAGTTCAACAAAAAAGGCAATTATGTACCTGGAATGTCCTGGAATTGACCTGATTTGGATTAATATTTCAAGAATATAGTAATGTTAACTGTTTCTACACCTTTATCTAGCCATACGATTTGTAATATAATTACATCATATGAAAATCAGTGCTTTAAAACATATGCCACCCCCAAACATATAAGTGACTGAGCACATTCTACCTAGTGCTATGATGCTACTGTGAGGGTCCGTTTTGATCCCATCTGAGCTGTCTGCATCATGGGGATTGAGCCTCTGTGGCAGCCCTGATTGGTCGTTCTCATCCTGGCTCATCATATCACCGCTCTGCGCCATCCACAGTGCCAGGGTAATTTCCTCTCAGGCCGGTCTTGACCGACCGCTCCCCAGTTCTGCTGCTCCATTGGCGTCTTGGCGCTCCCTTTCAGTGTCCTCGCCTTTGCTTTCAGCACCATCCCCTGGGCATTTCTCCTGTGTTGGATGTTCTGCCCCACTTTGGGGCCCACATTTTCTTCTTTCCTGGTTTGCTCTCTGTTTTTGTTGAAGCACATTCTCCCCCGGCTTCCTGGGGAGCAGGTTTTGAAAAACATGTTTTTGAGCCCTTGTATGTTTGAAATTTTTTATTCTACCTTTACTTGTGGTTGAAGTGCGTCAGGGTATAACACTCTTAAGTTAAAAATAACTCTCCTTCAGAGGTCGGCCTGGTGGCACAGCAGTTAAGTTCACACGTCCGCTTCGGCAGCTGAGGGTTCGCGGGCGCTCACCTATGCACTACTTGTCAAGCCATGCTGTGGCAGATGTCCCCCATATAA